CACGATGCCTTGTGCACTCCCCAACCACCCGTCCATGCCTGCACCCCTTGCCGTCCACCGAGAAACACATGGGGAGAGAGAGTGGGGTAGAGAAGAAAGGAGAGAAAGACTATGGAGTATGACAGGTGGACCCTACTTTATTTTTTTTTATTTTATTTGATGACTAGGATGTCACGTGGATGCCAAGTTAGCAAATACTACTATCAATACTAGCTTAGGAGTTAAATTAGACCGGTTTTCACGGTTAAGGAGTCAACATATTTGGTATTGCGAGGGAGGGTCATGAATTAGATTTGGTCCACTTTAAGGGAGCCAAAGTGGACTTACTCCTTTTCTTAATGACAGAAGTGGATTAAGATTGATGTTGGGCCGTGACCTGATGCTGCTTAGAGAAATGTCAGTCCAACGTTGCTTAGCGTATTACAAGAGGCCAACAATATGTTCTACAAAGTGTTGAAGAACCTCGTACCTCATGTTTCCGTTAATCTTCTTCTGATGTATGTTCCCGCTCCCTCGGTTCTTAAATGAATGACGCTGCTTACTAATTGTTTTTGGTGCAAATAAAAAATAATGTTTTAATTGCCTTTATAATAAAACAAATCACTACAAAATAAATGATAATTATGCAGTCTTTTAAATAAAAAGAATGGTTAAACGCCATATCTAAAATTCAATAACATCACACAATTAAAAAAACAGAGGCAATACTTTGCAGCTAAGAAAATTCAAGTTGTCGTTTGCCATATGACTTACAAGCTCTCGCTGAAATAAAATTTTGAAAATTAATTTTGAAGTTGACTTTGATGTTTTTTCCAACACAGATTCTTTTAAGTCGTTAAGAACACGTATGTAAATATTTGTCCCACAAATTATATTTTTATCACTAATAAACCACTACAGGCAACCGATGGAGCCCTCAGATTTAGCGCAGAAGCACACACGATTTAGAAGTACGGTTAGCCTGACTAGTATTTTTTAATTTGTTTTCCATCCTCTCCTCGGTTAGCTGATCACTAACGCGAGATCTGATGCCATCCTCTTCTCGGTTAGCTGATCACTCACCAACCTTAGATCTGATGCAGATTAGCATTTAAAAAATCCAAGAACGAGGAGTTAGTCGGCCAATCGGAATCTTCGAAACGAGAAATCCTAAACTTCATTAAATTTATTCAGCCACAGCCATTTTTAGTCGTACTCTGATGAGTGTGTTCGTTGTGTTCAGTTGCAGTTTGCAAACTTGCAGTATCATCTTCACTTGTAAGAACTGAAAAGATATCAATGGCTATCAGCCAGGAGGAGCAGCACGCCGGCGGCGGGAGGGACTACGCCGAGCCGGCGCCGCAGCCGTTTCTTGGCTCGTCGGAGCTGCGGCGGTGGTCGCTGTACCGCGCGGCGATCGCCGAGTTCGTGGCGACGCTGCTGTTCCTGTACGTGACGGTGGCCACGGTGATCGGGCACAAGCGGCGCCAGGACGAGGGCGGCGACGGCGAGGCGTGCGGCGGCGTCGGCCTCCTCGGCGTCGCCTGGGCCTTCGGCGGCACGATCTTCCTCCTCGTCTAGTGCACCGCCGGCGTGTCCGGCGGGCACGTGAACCCGGCGGTCACGCTCGGGCTGCTCGTCGCGAGGAAGGTGACGCTGCTCCGCGCCGCGCTCTACGTCGCCGCGCAGTGCCTCGGCGCCGGCCTCGTCCGGGCGCTCAACTCGGCCCACTTCGCGCGGCACGGCGGCGGCGCCAACGTCGTCGGCGACGGCTACTCCAAGGGCGCCGGGCTCGCCGCCGAGGTCGCCGGCACGTTCGTGCTCGTGTACACCGTCTTCTCCGCCACCGACGCCAAGCGCAGCGCGCGCGACAGCCACATCCCGGTAAGCGATAGCTCACCACAGCTCATGGTGTTCGACATGGAGAGTATAGTGAGGTTCTCGTCTTCTCCGGCGAGTCGCTCGTCTGCAGGTGTTGGCGCCATTGCCCATCGGTTTCGCGGTGTTCGTGGTGCACCTCGCCACCATCCCGATCACCGGCACGGGCATCAATCCGGCGAGGAGCTTCGGCGCCGCCGTCGTCTACAACCAGCCCAATGCTTGGCACGATCAGGTACTCGCAATCATCCATTCGTTGCGTCACTGATCAGTAGCTGCAGGGATTCAATCTATCGTTTTCAGCATTGGCATCCGGGTTACAGATACAACCGATTTTTTTTCTGAAATTCCGTTTTTCGGGCCGAAAATACTTGATTTTTGAAGAGAATTTGGTCGAATTTAAACAAATATTACTAAATTCACAAAAATAATAAAAACCCAAAAAAATCAGTAAAAATAATATCGAATCGAGTCCGGTACAACTGAAAATTTTGAAATAATATCGTATTGGGGGTCTGATAGAACTGAAATTTTGGACGAACAAATTCTTGACCTTAGAATCTGAAATTCTGAATCTTTCCCCTTTTTTTAGTGGATCTTCTGGGTAGGGCCTCTTGTCGGGTCCGCCATTGCGACGCTATACCACGAGCATGTGCTGAGGGCGAGTACTCTCAAGGCGTTGGGCTCATTCAAGGGCGCCAGACAATGAGTTCTTGGATCAAGTGGTGATCACTAATCAGCTAGCCATGCCTGGATTGAAGTGCATCCAGAGACAACGGGCTCAGATGGATGATGATGATGATAATGCTCATCCTCCTTAAATGTTGCACAAGCACAGTCTTTTTTTCTTCCTCCATGCTCCTCCCTTTTGGATCATGTGCTGTGCTGTACATGAATTAGCCATTAAATGTTGAGAAGCTGTACTGTACTTGAATTAGCTGTTGTACTGAATTGGGCTTTGGATATTTTCTCCGAAACACAATTGGGTTTCAGTTTTTGATGAGCAATTTTCATTGTGATGTTAACATGGAACATAATCTTAATTCAATGAGACAGAAGAGATCATTCATTTCTTCATCAGTTCTCTCCATTACAAAATTCAGTCTCACACGCACGACTATTACAACAGATTACAGACCACCTAGCTATACACTGTACTATATTTTTTTTGTTCCATATCCCTAATCGGCTAGTCTCTCAAAAGTCCAAAAGGAGCAATCATATACTAGTACAAGACATGCTTCCTTGTGCATGATTACCTACAGATATTTAAACTAACACCAAGATTCCAAGCAGCAATCTGCATCCAATTAACAATCTGCAGAACCACCAGGCATTCTTAGCTAGCCTGTCAGTTAAAATTAACCTACAGGCACATCAGAATGTGGCACAAAATTCAGAAATCCTTCTGTTCCCACTCCATTAAGCAAAGAACCTGTCCTAAAGAAGCACCCCTCTTCAGAGAGATTCCAAGCAAAAACACAGTACTGATAAGCTGCCAGTAACACACAACACATTCAGACAAGCTCTGAATGATACTGAATTACTGATAACAGCTAGTACTCCTGCAGGCGCTACCTGCGTGTAGGAGAAGAAGATGGAGTAAAGGCGACGGGACGTGGGGGCACGGTGGCGCCGCACGCCTGTTTCGATTGCTGCTCAAAGCTCGCGGTTTCCTCGGCATGCGGCGTGGCGCCATGCTCTTTGAGTCTTGAGGAGCAGCAATGATAATTCGGCATGGTAGGATGTGATGGATGGGTGAAGAGGAAGAAGAGGAGGTGAGAATGATGTCTTCTGCTGCATTCCTGCAGGTGTTGTTGCTGCCAATTGGGGCCTCTTTGGTAAAAGATGTAGGAGAGAATTTTGAAATTTCAAATGTATATGATTCAGGGTGGTGCATCTACCCAATTCCAATCAACACTGTAGTTAGATTGTTGTAGTTCAACAATATAAAATTTGAATGGGGTAGCTATACAACATTGGACGTTTTTTTTCTTTTTCGAAAACTTTCAAATGTAACCATAGTATAATTATACTGCGACTACAATCAAACTTACATGTAACTAGTAGTATAAAATTAATCAAGAAGTGAAAGCAACTCTTAGGCTCGACCCTGCCTCATATAGCAAACCCGTCTGTATATTGAGTGTTGGTATTGGGCATGTGAGGAACAAAATTCCCTCATGTTCAGCTGAAATGATTTGATGAATTTTCTGCTAATTTTGTAGTATGTTGATACCTGCTGACCTGCACCATGATCAGTTGATCGCAATAGCCATTACTAACGTGATTTAAGAAAATAAGTACTCCCTCCGTCTCATAATATAAGAGATTTTGACTTTTTGTTTGTACTGTTTGACTACTCGTCTTATTCAGAAAATTTGTGCAAATATAGAAAACGAAAAGTTGTGATTAAAGTACTTTGGATAATAAAGTAAGTCATAAATAAAATAAATAATAATTCTAAATTTTTTTTGAATAAGACAAATGGTCAAATAGTAAAAAAAAAGTCAAAATACCTTATATTATAGGATGGAGAGAGTATATGTTGATAGGCTTTACTGATAAATGACCACCATCCTATACCAAACAAAAATACACAACTCACCAATACGTACGTACAATTCATCCAATTAACTGCACGGATGGTACAAGAACGTCCTAAGCTAATACCATCTGTGGCAAAGAATGCTTCCATCATTACAAGGCCAAAACCAAAAGCACAGATAAAGCAAACAAAAAGTTGCTTAAAAGTCACCAAGTAAACTAATAGTCCTCTGAGATAACTTTTGAGGGAGTATGACTATCAGTCTATGATTGAGCCCCCACTAGCCTGGATAAACAAGATTAAAATTTTGAAAATGGAACAAATTAATTAAGGATGTGTCTCAGCCTGTGACTGTGAGGCATGGACATCCAAAAGATCAAAAACATCATTCCATCTCTCCACACCTCGCCATCATTCTGCTTCCCTTTCAGCTTGCCACTACAAGAATTGAAGTAGAAGCAAAGCCTCAACACAATTTGTTTACTTGCTTACTCCTGCATCTTCTATATATATACACCCAATGCAATCCAAGAACACAAGATCATCTGCACACTTGATGTGATTGCTGAGCTCGAGCTCCGAAAAGATCATGGCAATGGCGGCGGCGGCGATGGTGTTTCTTGTGTTCGCGCCTTGCCTTGCACAGGCCGAGGAGCGGCCGACGGCGGCGCACCCGCACGGGCTCCCCTTCGAGAGCCCGCTGGCGCTGTCGCCGGACGCGTACGAGTTCTTCCACCCCAGCGAGCGCGCCCGGCGCGGGCACGCCGCCGGGGCGGCGCCGGCGCTGTCGCCGCGGGCGGCGCCGCGCGGGCAGCTGAGGGAGTCCGCGGCGAGCGTGGCGAGGGCCGACCAGGAGGAGGGCGGCGTGGCGCCCGCCAGGAAGGTCGGCCGCGGCTGCGCCCGGGCAGGCACGGTGGCCGGCGTGGTCGCCGGCGCCGCTGCCGTGGCGGCGTTTGCGGCGCTCGCGGTGGCGTACGCCGTGGCGCGGCGCCGCGTGGGCGTGGCGGCGCACGGCGACGCCGAGGCGTGCGCGCGCGCGGCGCCGAAGACGAGCGCCTAGTGGGCCGGCCTGGTTTGCTCCATACGTATGCGTGTAGTAGTTGAGTTGGGCTTTATGGCTATATTTATGTGGGCCCAGATAGGTGGGCCATGGTGGTGCTGTGTAAAAATCTGGAAATGTTTTGTGGGCCCAGAGAGTTGGGCCATGCTGTTTTGGGAAAGATGGCCGAAACTATTTAGAGGAGGCTTTCGCTTGCAATGTTTAAGATCTCTCTTTGAACTCGAGAAAAAAAAAAAACCCTGTCGAGTCATTGTTTATTTTTGGGAGTATCTGGAAAAATTGTCATAAGTTCTTGAGTCAAAAACTTTCAAATATAATTATAATATAATTAAAATGTAACTATATTGTAATTACATTATAACTACACTATAACTATGATTTAACTTATAAAAAACTTGCATTGAATTACGGTTTAGTTAGCTAGCAATAAGATCTTACGCATGATGCGTGTGAAAATTTTTTGTAGCAATTTTATCCTTCACACACAAATCTTAAGGTGATCCGATGATCACAAATCTCAAGGTTTTGTGGGAATAAAACGTACGAAAGTTTTCTAGCAAATCACTTTCTTAACGTGCTTTCACTAATGACCACAGTACTACAGTTGGTAAAATGCATAATACTTAAGAATCTCCTTCGTCGAAACAGATTATTCATCGGATTATCGACACGGATCATTTGGAAGCTAACAAAGCCCTCATCAAATCAGCTTAGCTGTGAACTCGACCAATATATCAACATCCGGCATGACGTCCACGACGGCCGGGTGCCCGCAGAAGCGATCCGCCCAGGCAGCCAGGTTGGGGACCTTCGCGCCGCCGAGGAGCTCGACGCCGGCGATCCTCTCCACCGCCCTGATCCATCCGAGGTGCGATCCGAGGGCGATGTCCAGGTAGCCGATGCTGTCGTCGCCGAAGTATTGCTTCCCTTTGCTGCACTCGACGAATGCCTCCTCTAAATACAGCAGAGCGGTTGTCATTTCGTCGGACGCTTCGTCCTTGTCTCCGGGGACGGTTCCTCTCAATATCCGAATCCTTGGAGGAAACTGCATCGAAGCAAGAGTGGAAACCTGGAAATTATTCGAGATACAAGGAGAAGAAAAAGTTTGAATAAATTCAGTTTGAGAACTCTTGTTTTCTTACCGGTCGTAACCAAAATTTGATTTTTGGTAATTGACTTTAGAGTTGATTTCGAGGGTTTTTCATCGTAGTTTTGTTTTTTACATTTACTTTTAAATAACGGATAATAAATACAATATAAGAAACTAGCATGGTAGCGTCATTATATTTTCTCTCATATAATAGCATATATGTTTTCTCATTATATTATTCAAATATATTAAAATGACAACATAATTTTAAATTTTGCAATAACTTTACAAAACTACTAATGTGTAATATTCATATTGTATTTTATATACATGTTAGTTATTAATTATTTTTAATATCAAATTTTAGTTATTTGTAAATTATATATATATATATATATATATATATATATATATATATATATATATATATATATATATATATATATTCCTATATTACTCGTCTTTTAATATTTTTTTAATTCCGAATTTTCTTAATATTGTATTTCTATATAGACTCTATGCTCTTTTTCCAATATTATTTATTTTTATTTCTGAATTTTTATTATTTCTAATTGTATTTCTATGTGGACTCTAAACTCATCTTTCAGTATTATTTAATTTTTAATTTCGAATTTCAGTTACTTCTAAATTGTATTCCTATATTTACTTTAAACTTTTCTTCCCATATTTTTCTTAATTTTGAATTTTATTTATTTGTAAATTATATTTTTATACGGACTCTAAACTCTACTTTTAATTTTATTGTGTTTATTCCAAATTTTCGTTAGTTTTAAATTCCTATATGGACACTATACTCTACTTCTAATATTCCTTATTTTTTAATTACGAATTTCTATTTTTTTTCTTAATTGTATTTCTATATGAACTATATACTCTACTTCTAATATTCCTTACTTTTAATTCTAAATTTCTATTATTTTCTAATTGTATTTCTATATGGACTCTATACTCTACTTGTAATATTCCTTATTTTTAATTACAAATTTCAGTTATTTCCTAATTATATTTCTATATGGACTCTATACTCTACTTTTAATATTCCTTATTTTTAATTCCGAACTCTATACTCTACTTTTAATATTCCTTATTTTTAATTCCGAACTCTATACTCTACTTTTAATATTCTTTATTTTTAATTCCGAATTTCAGTTAATTCCTAATTGTATTTCTATATGGACTCTATACTCTACTTTTAATATTCCTTATTTTTAATTCCGAATTTCAGTTATTTCCTAATTGTATTTCTATATGGATTCTAGTCTCCTCTTCTAATATTCCTTATTTTTTAATTCCGAATTTCAACTATTTCTAAATTGTATTTCTATATGGACTCTAGTCTACTATTCTAATATTCCTTATTTTTTAATTCCGAATTTCAGCTATTTCTAAATTGTATTTCTATATGGACTCTACTTTTTCTTTTTCTCCGATTAATGTAAGAATTTCTAGACCATGAGAGCGAACGTGGAGGCTTCTTTTTCTATTCCTTTAATAATATAATAGATAGATTGCCTAATCCTATGTAGATAATTTTCAGGTCTACCAGTTGGGTTCTGATGTTGCCATGAAAGGAGCAGGATACTATACGTGATGGTGCTATAGTTTTAGAATTAGTAGCCAAGGGTTCTCTTTTCCGCGTTGAATCACATATGTGATTCAATTCAAGTGATCCTTTTTTTTCCTCACTGCTAAAGCTTATTGGTTGGAATTAAATTTGAAAATATATTGTTTATCCAATTTTTTTCAGAAATATTCGGGATGAAATTTTTTTTTTTACAAATATACCATCGATCTCGCGCAATCGTTATGCGAAAATGATGTAAACATGACGTTACCAGCGGTATCGTGCGATGAAAATGCGAGACCGTGCGGCCGCGCGGTATCGCGCGGTTTCGCAGAAGCAAAGAGAGTCCGCTCGGTATCGCTTGTTGAAGCAGCGACACCGGTATGGCAGTCCCGGCCGTCAATGGTTAATTACCTAATTAACTATTAACTAATAATAATTAGTAATTAATTATCCTGATTAACAATTAATTAATAATTAATTAATCACTAATCAGGATAATTAATCACTAATTAACTGGCATGTCAGTGCGGTATTGCTCTTTTAATCAGCGAGACCGTTCGGTCTCGCTCTTTCGTTCTGCGAGACCGTGCGGTCTCACATTCTCGTCGTGCGAGACCGTGCGGTCTCGCGTTTTCGCCGCGCAATACCGTTCGTGACATCACGTCCACGTCATTTTCGCGCAAACGATTACGCGAGATCGACGGTATATTTCTGTAAAAAAAATTTGCATCCCGACTATTCTTAAAAAAAAGGTTGAACAGTATATATTTTTTTTAAAAAAATTTGCATCCCTGGCCTCTGTGTCTGCTGAGAGGCCGGAGATGTAATCATTTTCATATTAAAAAAAATATAGTATAAAAGTTTTACCATAAACAGTCTCATCTTTTCGTTTATGCTTATACTTATCAGCTAAAATTTAATTTTTCATCCTTAAACGTGAGTTAATTTTGGGTATTTTTTCATTGAATTTTATTTTTTAACCTTTGTTTTTACATCAATAAGAACACGCATATCAAAGTTTTTTTTAATAAATTATTTTTCGTTTGCAAATATATCGAATAAGCGAAACAATGGGGCAGTTTAATTCTGGTTAGTCCGTTTAATTTTTTTTCACTAATTATTTCAATCAATCAGACACGAGGACCGTACCATGTCGTCGATGTACTGTCCCCAGAAGCGGTGGATGGCGGCGGCGTAGGGGTCGTCGCGGGGGAGTATGGAGGCGGGCGGCGGCCAGACCTCGTCGACGTACTGCACGATGACGAGGGACTCGGAGATGGGCTTGCCGCGGTGGAGCAGCACGGGGATCTTCTTGTGCACCGGGTTGGACGCCAGCAGCAGCTCGCTCTTCTTCCCCATCGTCTCCTGCAGCAGCTCGTACTCCACGCCCTTCAGCCTCAGCGCCACCATCACCCGCATCACGAACGGGCTCGCTCAGCTCCCCAGCACCCGCACCTCCGCCGCCGCCGCCGGCTTCTCGCCGGACTGCATGTTCGTCGTCGTCGACGACGGCGACAACGACGATGAAGTGAGTGTGTGTGTTCTTGCTGAGATGACTGTCTGACTGACGAGGCTGCTCTGCTGCTGGTGATGCAAATGCTTATATAGATCGGTTTTCTTGAATTTCTTCTGCTTCGTCGACGTCGTCGCGTGCGTCATATGGTTTTATTAGCTGCTGATCGTTTCTGTTTATTGGGCTGACGTCTCTTGATGTGATCCCTTTCGTCGTATGAGGAGGATTTTCTGTGGTCTGCTAGCGATGGAATGGAACAGTCTCCGTGGCCACTATTTAACATTTTTCACCTTTACTGCTTCAGGTCTCGGAGTAGCCCAACCGGGAGGAAGTTTCTCCAGTGCAGTTTGCAGTTATGTCACTAACTTGTGAGTCATAGTAAAGTACTCCCTCCGTTTCGAAATGTTTGACACCGTTGACTTTTTAGCACATGTTTGACCATTCGTCTTATTCAAAAACTTTTGTGAAATATGTAAAATTATATGCCTACATAAAAATATATTTAACAATGAATCAAATGATAGGAAAAGAATTAATAATTACTTAAATTTTTTGAATAAGACGAACGGTCAAACATGTGATAAAAAGTCAACGGCGTCAAACATTTCGAAACGGAGGGAGTAGGAGTGTAGAACCCATATACCAATGACTCAACTGTCAACTATAAAGGCGCACATGCACTGTATCCCATATGAGCACCTATCTGGACTAACATATTTTGAGATTAAATGACAAAATCACCACGGACGTCGACAGAGCCTCACTGTCGACGAATACATTGTCTACCACTGAAAAAAATAATTAACCGTAAATGCGAGCACTGTGTTAATTGTAGGTTTTGAACTGTGTTAATTGTAGTGTTAATTGTAGGTTTTGAACTCGAGTAGGCTGATTTCAAAACCTAATTAGTTGAGCTACGCTCACTACGCAAGCACTTTTTTTTGATACGCTATGACTCTCCATTACTCATACCCAACAGAAGGTGGCTTTCCACAACTTTGGATAGCAATCCTGAAATTTTAAAAACACTACTTGGTTTGGATAGCAACCAACGGAAACACCATGGACAATATTTGTGATCAGAAGATCGTTGCTAGTTTCTACTTTGTTCATCCATGTGCTCATGTAAAGCCATGAGCCAAGCGAAATTTTCGTCAGGGCAGACATACCCTCTGTCTGATACTAGTATGCCTTGTACATCAGCAGTAGTATTATCATAGCCTGTTAATACGAATTGCCAACACGAATATTCGCTTCAAAACGAAGCATATAGACAGGGCCAGTATGAAGTCCCCGAAGTGTGTAATACATGCAAGAATTGTAGCAGAAAGAACATTTTTTCTGGGACAAATAGGATATTGATCCATCCATTCATCCATGATATCGTTCAACCTTTCTTAAATTAAAAAGAAAAAGACATCATTGTATTCAGCTATGGGTTCAAAGAAATGTGAGTACATCATAGCACAACAATGACATGACCGGGGAGGCATGCTCCACCTGTTAACTTTGGCACGCCCAACCAGATAATGCTTGAATTACCATCCACGAGAGCTGAGGTATGCAACAAGTCGTCCGAGAGTCTCATCCACTCCCTTGTTCCATACGTGAGCCAATTCAGTTGAGCTTGTTCTACTTCTGGTTTCACTAGGCTGCAACAGAGGCAAGATTCAGTCATCAAGGTGGTTCCTAGTAAGAAAGACATCAGACACGCTAATAACTCGGTTCCTTTTACTGCCACGGTTGAGGGGTTATGGAAAGAAGAGTAAACTTATTTCTGCTGAAAGCATGATAATCATGCTCCCTTAAAACTATCTTGTCTATCATATCCTATATGCCTGTTCCATTTGAGAGGTAATATTGTATTTCGTATATTCTGGCAATTAGTTGGCAGTTATTAGAACATATTTGTCCACAGAATATGCTTGATGTTGCAGTCTATGGTAATTATTGTCCATCTGATCACAAAAAATGGTAAAAAGTAATTATTGTCCTTATGTAAACAAGCTGCAATATGCTTATGTCATCAACACTTTATACACCGATATTGTGGCATTACTTGAAACTAAAAACAAGGCATAAGAAGTTTTCACCTATTGATATAATTTGCATGTAGACTCTACTAAGATAAGGAGAAAACGAAAGATAAAAGCACATAATACATCAATTTAGTTCAAAATCCTGCTTAAATACTGGAATCTAATGGATTATGTGTTCAACCATTGATGTACTTGCCCAAATGAAATTTCATCCTCAAAAATCGTTAATAACAATGGTTCATAACTGATTGAAAAAAAAAAATCTTTATGTATCACTAGTTACAGGTTTTATTCTGGTAATGTATCACTTGGTTGAGAACACATAAACCTTTAACTTTGCAAGGGCCAAGGACCATGGTCCCAATAGCAGAATTCAATATGTTTGCATTGAGATTGCCCAAATAAAAGAAAAAAAGATCAACTTTGCACATTTAACTGCATTTCTTCCAAGTCTGGCTCGTCTTTTTGTGTGTGTGTGTTGTGTTCGACTTAAAATCTTTCCTTTCAAGAACTCAAAATTCACAAGAGCCACATTGTACATCCTGCCCTAGCAGATAAACTTACTGCTACTACCCAAAGATAAAGGTGTTTTTCTTAGTGATATCTACACCACTGAACAGATAGACTCTAGATGTAAAAGTACGTAATTTTAGTTGTGTCCCCTTGTGAGATTAAACAATTCTCTTACCAAACAAACATAACCAAAATATTACACCAACAAAAAGAGAAAAATCGAACACTAGAAATTGAGCCTTGCTAAATACACATTGCAATTCTGATCAAGGGTTCCCGCACCGATACTACGGAATATAACATAACATCATCAACCGTGTGAGGAAAGCAGAATATCCCGTAATTGCAAGCAACGGCAAAATGCATCGGGACAAAACACACACAGACCTGGTAGGAGGAGAAGGGCGACGGGGCAGCGGCAGCGTCGGCGTCGGCGAGGGAGCGGTAGATGGCGCGCCGCTGGTGGAGGACGAACCCTCCCATGGAGACGGAGCCCAGGGCGAACCCGAGGAGGCGCTCCTGCGCGCAGATCCAACCCAAACCCTCCCCCAATCAATCGATCACCCAGCAAAATCGAACGAACGCGGGGATGGAACCCGACGGGACGAGCCCCGCCCGCGCCCGGCATCAGCAAGAGGACGGAGTCGCGTACCTGCGCGAGGATGCTGATCATCGCGGCGGCGGTGGTGGCGGTGGCGGCGGCCGCCGGCGAGCGAGACGACGAGATTTGTGGGGGTAGGTGTCCTCCGCTTCTTCTTCCACGGTTTCCGCGGCCCTGAGCGATGCGCGGTGGCTGGTGAGGTGTGTAGCCTACGCGCGCGTGATGGGCTGGGCCGAAATCTGATGACGTCATCACACGCTTTCGGCCCATTTGACTTCATTTCCTAATTTTTTTTTGAGAAACTAAAATATACTAGTATTTCTAACAAATGGTTTTGTTATACGTGTTACAAATTTTCTCCCGACAATTTATCAAATAATACAGTATATAGTCGTAGTATAACTATATTATAACTTGCGTGTAACTACAATGTAATTTGTATGAAATTTTCATATAATTTTGTACCGTTAGAGATACTTCAATACTCGTGCAAGCAGATAAGGAAAAAAAATCTCATCACACACACGGAAATAGCGTGTTATGGGTGGATTTGGTCCCTTATTAACCTCAGCTTCGCGGAACTAGCGTGTACGGCGGGGTTTTTGAAAGTTATATTGTAGTTATATGTAAGTTGTAGTGTAATTACATTCCGATTGTCCCATATTTACATTTGACAAATGTTTGAGAGAATTTGTCGACAAATGCATGGATAGCCTCCTATCAAAAAGCTGGTCTCAGAATGGAGTAATCTTAGAGAAAATTTAAGAAAATCATACCAATTCCTGTGAAAATTTTCCAAACTTTACGGTTTCCGAAGAAACCCATCCCAAGCAAAGCACAGCAGGCCATAAACGTACTAGGTGACAGCACAAACCTAACGTTAACCAAAGGTCCAGGGCAGCAGTAAAACATTGTGGATGAACACGAACTAGTGAAAAAGTGAGCATTCCGCGCTGAATATTTACACCGGTGTACGATTCGATATCGTGGTCATCACTCAACAACAAGAAGCTTTGGATTTGAGCTCGTCTCCCTCCAAGGGAGGAGAAACATGTGAACTACTAGCTACCACAAGGAGAGAATACAATCACCAACAACACAGAGTTTGTTTCGTGTCCTATGGCTATTTACACGCCTAGTTCTCACTATTATACACCAGGGTGGTATCCACTGGGCGCCATGCTGCCGTCCATCGGCAGCCTCGGCATGCTTCTCCTGGAGCCCCATTCCTGGCAGCACTCTAGAGCTAGCCGCAGGGCGGTGCCGAGGCCGAGAACTATAAGAACACCTGCAAACATCATGCAGTTGTGTCAATGAGCAGTAGAGCACCATCCTGTGTGGTATCTTCAAGTGAACAAAGACACCAAAATGATCAATTGAAAAAATTTAGTAACTCCCAAAACTGTCATGGCTTTGGGTAGAACCACCGATACGAAAGGCCTGTTTGGCACAGCTCCAACTCTCTGGAGCTCAGCCAAACAATTTCAGCTCCATCTAAAATATGAGCGGAGCTGGGTGGAGCTCTCTCACAAAATGAACTAGAGAGGTGGAGCTGGGTTTAGGCAGCTCCACAACTCCACTACAGACTCAATTCCTGGAGCTACATTTAGGAGTTGGAGCTCTACCAAACAGGCCCGAAGTATGGTGAAGATTGTGATTATGGATGGAAGGTGTTTCAGGCTAAGTACAGGCTAATGGTAGCCCTCTGTTCCTCTTATTATGTTTTCATATATCAGGTCAATGCAAGGTAAATAACAGAAGAAAATTAAATGGTACTCCTTGGAGATGCTGTAAACCAAAATATCATACGTACCAATTATTATGTTCACAGGAAGTGCGGAGACGCCAAGAGAAACAGATATCAGAACATCCAACAAGAGTCCGCCAATAAGAATTGCAAATGCAACCCACAGAGGGCTAAACCATCCCTACGTACACAAAGAGAAAGACATCATATATGAAGCAGAACAGAGTGAATAATTTCAGCACAATTGAAGACAGTCACATGGTAGTTTAGTTAGTAACTTCTTTCTGCATCAGTGCAGTCAGATAGTTAATTCATATGCATCTGTTTCTTTTTTTTATCTGTCTCCAGTTACAAAAATACCCTTTCATGTCCTCCTCGGCCCCTTCCATAAGCTGAATCAACCCTCCAAACCCAATAACTTGTCTGCTCAATGAGAAAAAAGCAAATTTTTCACTACTAGCAAGAGAAATTCGGTTTATACTTTTTGCAACACAATATCCACTGAATTTCAGGAGGCATTTAATTGTCTAGCAGTGGAACATAAATATTTGAAAAGCTCAATCAATTGAAAATGATACATATAGGGAAGTGTTCAAAACTACAAACACATAAAAGCAAAAGGATGTGATTTAGCTGGTCTCAACATAGATAGAGCTCAGTCGTTTTTTTTTACTTGAGGATATAACTAATAATGGCTAAACATAGGATGGGAAGTAATGTTTTCCAAAATAAACCTTGAAAACAATATTAGACAGGGTGAGAAATGGTATACATACACTAGCTTGCGTCTCTGGAGGGGGAATATTGACAGCAACCTGCCTGTGTAGCAAACAGCTTCAGTAAATAAAAATAGTTCAGAATAGCCAATAACCATCTATGAAGAAGACTTACTGGCAGATTTCACACTTGTTTGAACCTCTAGTACGAAACCAAACACTAATACACGTGCGGTGAGCCTTTGAAAGATCACCTCGACATCTGCACCCAAGGTCTACCAAAGGTTCTTCTGTCTTCTGTTGACATACCCTACAGATATTAAACATTCAGAGATGAAATGAGTAAGCCATTGGCGACAAGGGAAGTCACAACAATATGTAAATCTTGAAAGTGCATATGTCAATAGGTAAAGAAAGAAGGGCGTCTGGTTGAGTAATTTAACAACTTTAAGTAATGGTGCAATAACACATGTTGGTAAACTGAATATGTAACTCTGGTATGGCGGTACCTAACGAGCAATAATAAATATCAGCACACAGACTTATTCTCACAGCAGTCTCATAGAAACTAAGAGCGCACGAATGCACGCATGGTGTCCTCCTCTTTAGTAATCCAGAGAAAAGATATAAACACTTGCTTGGTGGAGCTTGAGCTCAAAAGTTGTTCATAAGTCCAAGCAACTTCAATTAGATCAATCGCTAGGGTATTCTTAAATAAAGGTCAACCTCAGCAGCATTGTGGGGGCCTAAACTTTAATTAGGGCTTTGTTCCATCTCCCACCCTCAAGCTGTCCCTTTGAGAACTCGAAATCACAAGTACAAATCATGTTTGCTTTTAGTTTGATGAATCCAGCTGAAGCACGCAACCTATTTATTACTGTGCAACATCTTGAAACACCAGATTGGTCATACATGGATAACTAGATGAAGGGAAGTAATTGGAAGACTACTGATGAACTGATACTAATCACATATGTGGTAACTGATGCGGTATATACTACTAATATCCATGATTCATGAGCAAATTGCTCCATTGAGGAGCTACTTTGCAAGTTCTCGGCAGGTTGCAGTCAGCAAAAAACCCCAAAATTCATTCACAAATGGCGCCATAATCCAACCACGAAATGCCCAATTACTAAATCGGACCAATCACAGCCACAAACCTTTTCCCCCATCGTCTCCTCGATTCGTGAAGCTCCGCTAAAAATAACCAGAAGCATCGCGCGAGATCCTACCAAGGCCCCAACATTTCGCAGCAGACGAGCACAAGACCCCCACCCACGGCCTACCTGCATTGCTCGTCGAAGCTGTCCGTCCTCGCCAGCTCCGCCTCCTTCACCGCGGCCGCCGCGACCTTCGCCCCGGCCACCACGGGGGGCGGGGACGCCGCCGCGGCGCCCTTCGGCTCGGCCGCCTCCTCCGGCTGCGAGATCACGATGGTCACCGCCCCCGCCCCCGCCCCCGCCCCCGCCTCCGCCGCGGCGGCCGCGGCAGCCACCACCACCACCTCTCCGCCTGCGGCCCGGGCTGTTCACCGCCCACGTCCGCCGAGCCCGGTCCCGGTCCCGGCTCCGATCCGGCGGCGGCGGCGGTGGTGGCGGTCGACATGTTGACTACCTTGGCCCCGGCCGCTTCTGGGGCGGCGTTGCGTCGAACACCTCGCGTGCGAGGGAGGTGGATGGGGATGCGTGGAGATGTGCGGGGTGGGGCACCTACTCCCTCCCTCCCTGTGGGCTGTGGCTGCTTCCCGGCGAGAAAGGGCGGCGGGGCCCACGCCGGCGGGGAGGTGGGGGGGGGGGGGGGGGGATGGAGACGGGTGTGACGATCGTGATAAGGAAAATGACACTGACAGGTGGGGCCGACGAGTTGTGGGGATTAGGTGTCAGTGAGTGTGGGTGGGGAAGGGTGGGAATGGCCGTATGGGGAGTCGTGGCGGGTTCCGATCTGGAGAGGAGTGCAGGAGAGGTGATATGCAGTTCTTTCTGTGAGCACAGAGTTGCTTAACTTCATTGTTAGTATTAAGGACTTGTTTAGTTGGTGAAATGTAAATTTTTAGGTGTTACATTAGACGTTTGACCAGATATTGGAAGGAGTTTTTGAATATAAATGAAAAAAAACTAATTTCATAACTCGCCTATAAACCACGAGACGAATCTTTTGAACCTAATTAATCCGTCATTAGCACATGTGGGTTAATGTAGCACTTATGGCTAATCATGGATTAATTAGGCTTAAAAGATTTATTTCGTGATTTTTTCTCTAACCGTGCAATTAATTATTTTTTTATCTATATTTAGTGCTTTATACATGTGTCCAAAGATTCGATGTGATGTTTTGGGAAACTAAACATGCCCTAATATTATCTGAATCTTTTTTCTGAAAGTAGTGTGTACTCAATCTGAATCTCAGGTTCTCAACCCATTTGGGAAAAACTAATACTAGAAGCTTGCCAAAACTAAAAACTGATGGAATATAAAGTCTTGAAATGCTTCTTAAAACACGGTGCTGAAAACACCAACCCTTCCCTTGGATTTACCAATCAAATAGCAAGAAAACCGATCGGAACGGTTCTTATCGAGTATTACATCCGCCTCGAAATAACTTAACTTTTGTATACAAATCTAGACATAGCGACATAGGTTATGTTTAAATCAGTATACTCAAGTTAATTTGTTTTAGACAATAGCACTTGTGAGGTACTTCATCCGTCCCAAAAAAACCAATCTAGCCAGGGGCGGTACCACCCATTAGGCGGGGTTGGGCGGCCGGCCCAGCTACGGCCCGCGCTGCCCCAACCCTTCGTATCCTTCTTGGGCCGTCTACCACCACATCCAATTCATAATGGCTCATAAATAAGCAGCCCAAGTGTTCAATTTTAATCCTGCGTATGCGATGCTTTCATAAGTCAATTGCTCGACACTGCTCATCCCCGTCCCCTACTAGATGCCTAATGTTTTTCTCTCTCTCCCTTCTAAGCAAAATAATAATCATTTTATTCTGGGTATGCGATATCTTCTCATATATTTATTTTTTAAAAGATATCTATCAACCATGCTTTATGAATTGACTCATATTTGCAAATTGATATGTTTACTAGTATCTTTTTAGGTATGATGAATTATGTATGGCGCAAAAAATGTTACTTTATTTTAATATATTTTTTTTATTTGCATTAATTTATTGATTATACTATATGTTTATATGATTACAACAGTTGTTCTTATTGAGACGAGCAACTTCGCCCCATCTTTATTTTAATCCTGCGTCCGCCACTGAATCTAGCATTAGAGGTGACATTTTCTAGTACAATGAATCTTTCGTGTGCTAGAGAATGTCACCTTCAATACTAGGTTGGTTTTTTTAATGGAATGAGTATGTCTCAATTGATTGAGCAAGATTACGGTTATCCCCTCTGTTCCATAAATAATAAATCTAGGATATGATGTGACTACAAATCTGAATAGATATGATACATCATAGTACCATATATTTAGATCTAGATAGAATTCGTAAAACTTAGAGGACATGTCGAAGGCCTCTACAGTATATTATTCATATTTCATAGAGTTCAAGCATTGAATGACCTCATTCCAGCCGCCCAGTGACCTTTTGTTGCTCTAAAAAAAACAGAGTATGCGTTTTTGTGGTATAGAATGAATGGCCTCTGTTCTTTTCATTTAAAATTGTCCCTCTACCAATCACATGATGACACAACTGTATCATCGCATCTTATTGCCGGGTCGAAAGGGGATGAAAACAACGTCCACAGAGGTTGCCTAGCTAATGCCGTCTCCACTATCAGAAATGCTAAAAACATAAAATTGTTTTGTTTTGAGAGGAGAAAAGGAACTGGAAAATTTTGAGTGGCTGTAAGACAATCCACATAATATTGCTTGTCACTCAATAGCCTATCGAAGAGACAAAAATGGGCCAGAAGACAAAGGCACGCTCCTTTTCAATCATTTATGGGGCTCTGCATCATGTGGCCCAGCCCGCTTTCTTTGTCGCTTGATGTAGGCTGTGTTTAGTTCACACCAAAATTAGAAGTTTGGTTAAAATTGAAACGATGTGATGAAAAAGTTGGAAGTTTGTGTGTGTAGAAAAGTTTTGATGTGATGAAAAAGTTCGAAGTTTGAAGAATTATTTTGGAACTAAAGACGGCGACAGTTCGAGTCTTCTTTCCTACTCTCTCCCTTAAAAAAGAAAAAAACAACTTTTATCCATTATATGATTAGACAAAACCTATGTTTAAATTCATATATAAAAGTTACCTTTTATAAACAAAAGGGAGTCTTCAATAATTGTGATCTCCTTATGTTAGTTTCGATTCTTTATTTTTGTTACGGTTTGTTCTATTTAATTAGATCTACACTATGTTCTTGAATGCTTCTATGTAATAATTGGCTGTAGCTCTGTTTGAGTAAAGGCCGGGACATTATATTCTATTATCTAAAAAAATAAACAAAAGGGAGTCACATGAAACCTCGCTGGGCAATATGGTAATTATGTTTTGCAACCTAAACTCGAAATATGATAGTTACTCACTCCGTTTAAATATATAGCAACTTAGCACTCAATTATACACCAAGTACTATGAATCTTAATAGGCTTCATCCTAAAATTAGGTTGTTATATTTTGAGATGGAGTGAGTAAAATATTATTAGGGATTAACATTTATTTGGTTTGCTGCAAAAAATAGTTTTGCTACAAACTTTTGCAAGAGAACACTATAAGCTCAAACACCTAAAGAATTTGGCAACGAATAAAAAACAACCACGCCTTGAAAAAATTTGAGTGAATTTCACAAAACCCTAGGTTTTGGGGCATACATAACTAAAACATCAGGTTTTGTGATTTGTTTCATGAGACCCCATGTTTTGGGTAAAATGTTCCGTAAGACTCCATGTACAAGCTTATGTCATTCATTTGGCTGATATATTTTATCCATAATAAATGTAAAAGAAATGTATTGATATTTTTTAAAGTATTTATACACGCTTGCTTCTTTTTAACAAGCATTGGTTACCGATAGTTTTATTATTTGTGTATATATGTATATGTAACATGTTATCATGTCATTATTAGTTTGGATTATGTTGAGTTTTTGCAATAATAGTGTGGCATGAAAGTAAGGACAATGACAAAGTAGAGAAGGGGGGCACATATTTTGAGTCAACTAATGTGAATTTATATGAAAACAATCATATATAATAATGAAATATGAATATTTTACATAAAATTGGGATTTATTGAAACATTTTGTCCTAAAACATAGGATTCTTTGAAACAAATAGCAAAACCACTAGCTTCAACTAGTTCTTTTCAAAAAGTTAAACTAATGGCATGCTTGGTAGGGTTTATAATTCCAGCTTCACATCTGGAGCTGAAGTTAAACCAAATGGTTTCAGTTCCAACCTAAAAAGAGAGTAATGGGCTAGAATGATCTAAAAATGTTAACTAGAAGCTAGGGTGGAGGCCATACCACATCTCCATTCTAAAATTTACTCCTAGAGTTAGATTTAGGAATTGGAGCCCTACCAAACATGCCCTTAGGCCTTAGGGGCCTTAGGCTCCACCTCTGTAATTCATCTTATCAAATTGTTGTAGCCTGACCTGCTCCTTTTGGGTTGAGCTAAAAGCGTTTGGTTAGGCTTCACCACTAATTTCTTTTTGGGTAGAGCTGAAGTCGTTTGGTTGGTTGGGCTTCAACTCTAAAGGTGGAGCCTTACCAAACAAGCTCTGAAGTTATGTAATTAAATAACCCATATGAATTTCCTCTCTTCTACTTGAAATTTAATCAATCGCATACTTTTTTTAATTCTGAAAGATCGACAGGAGGGTTGAATCGACCACCTTGGGCTCGGCTACCGTCCGTGTTACACATGTTCATACAGAATTGCTATACATCACTTGGCATATTCTAGATGAACAATAGCTCAAAATTCTAACCTCCAGAACTTCTCCACGATTTCCTTTTCTAGTTTCAATGAGCTCCGAAGTGGTTATAGAGTTTCAAGGTAGGTTGTGGGAAGGGGCAAGGGGTGGATCGGGAGTGAGGAAGTCGGAGGTGTTCTTTGGCTTAGAGAGATGGTTGGGGTGCTAGTCAGCGGGTGGCCTCGAGGTGGGCCAGTGGCCTAGGCGGGGCATCGAGGTGCTGGTTGTGATGCCTCACCCAGAAGAAGAGGTAGACGGTGGGTCGATGTTTTTACCTTGGAAGATCGCTGTTGGAATTGTTAGGACATTGTGGGAGGTGGTGGTGGATCCGACAGCTGAAGTTACCATGGACGAGGCCAGAGGCGCAGGGGCATGTGAGTAAGAGAAGATTGGAGGGTTGGAAACTTGGAATGGTTAGGAGGTGGCAAAATCCAAGAGTGTGAGCTGATGGGGATGGACGAGGACGATGACATAGGGATATTGGAGCCGGGAAGACTTTGATGAGGCACAAGACGATAGGGCACGGTGCAGGAAAAACACTATTGTTTGGTGTGCCTTGGTTGCGTTGACTTGAACGGAGGAGATGAGAAGGGAGCAGAGGAGAACGAAGGAGAATCTGGATGGTTTGATTTAGATCTAATGTTCAGAAAAATCACATGATTTGAAGATGGTAAATGTGTCGAGTGACACGTAGACAGTTCGTTCGTGTATATAAATATTGCGTCCCAAAAGTTAAAATTAGGGGGAAATGGGGTAAGCTCTTATTGAATTGACTCCTACAATTCTCTAGGATACAAAATTACTCCCTCCATTCTAAAATATAAGGCAAAACTAATTTTTAAAGTTGTTTCATAATATAATGCGTGCATGTACGTAATTAATTAGCACATTCTCTCCCCTAAATTATTATTATTTTAAATCTTACACTCATAAGATTTTTAATTCTATTGGTTGCATGTATTGTACTAGTTGGGGTGATTCATGACAATGATGTGACATTAATTATTTCTTAGTCTTTGGGTTAAGTGTGGTTGTGCCTTATATTTTAGAATGTAGGGAGTATAAAATACTCGTACGTGTATACCACAGCTCATCACACACTTGCTCTCACACTCGATTTTGGGTTGGTGGAATGCATTCTAGCTGTTAGGGCCTGTTTGGTTGATATACTCAATTTGCCTAAGCTAGATTTAATTTTTTTCCTAATTTGCCAAGCGTTTGGCTAGTAAATTTGGAACCACATTTTAGCTAATATAAGCACACATACTCCCTCCGTCCTAAAAAAAAAACAAACCTTGAGTTTCCATGTCTAACGTTTGACTGTCCGTCTTATATGAATTTTTTTTATAATTAGTATTTTCATTATTGTTAGATAATAAAATATGATTAATACTTTATGCGTGACTTATCTTTTTAATTTTTTTTATAATTTTTTTAAATAAGACGGACGGTCAAACGTTGTACACGGAAACCCAGGTTTGGTTTTTTTGACGAATGGAGTATATCTTTGTGTGTCATTGATGCATATAGGACCTATAAATCTGTCCATAAGTATATGGCATGAATCAAATGGACTCCCAACAGAGATGGAACGACCTATGGTAGCGAACCAAATAGCCTCACAGGGACCCTATCAAAATATAAAGTATGGGTCAAAATGAACTTAACTAATTAGATGATACTCCAATGACTTCGGCTGTGTTTAGATCTAAAGTTTGGATCCAAACTTCAGTATTTTTCTATCACATCAACCTGTCATACACATAACTTTTCAGTCATATCATCTCCAATTTCAACCAAAATCTAAACTTTGCGTTGAACTAATCACAGCCCTCAACTCATGCATACGTGGAGGACTCAAATTCTAGACTAATGATTGTCTCTGACAATATTCACATGTCTTCACATAAATGATGCACAATGTATATACTTTGGTATAATTAATTAAGTGGGATATCTGTCTTCCAATTGATACATGGACTAAGGACAATGTCAAGATTAATTTTTAGAAAAATCACAATGGCTCTTCTCATGAAAAAGGAATATGAATTTTTAGTATCAACTTACTTATTCTACGAGAGATGGAGAGCGGCATGTACGTGAATGATCTACCAAAATTGATACCTCATGCTTGCACAACTCAGCTTCTTTTTGCGGTTTTATTTTGCTGGAAAAATCAGTGTTTGTTTTTGAAATCAGCGTGAAGCCCCGGATAAGTTACGTACGAATTATCCGGTTCGGTTACGTATTATGGAGGTCATGCAGGTGTTTTGATCATATGTCCTAGTATCCTTATATAAACCGTGTTGTCGCTCGATCGGAAGAGCAAATCTTCGGAAGCTCGACGTCCTGCACAGAGAGAAGGCGCAAATAAGATTTTTGGAAAGCGCTTAGCATGACTGCTCATTTGTCTTCCACGATGGCTCATCTTTCTTTTCGTTCAGGCGCTACGTGTTGACATCAACATCCTATACCATGCGTTGTACGTGTGGTAAGTGCTGCTATTCTTCGAGACAATCCTCTTCTGCAACAGAATCAAGACTGTTGGTACGTCCCAAACATGTTTCGTATATTTGATCTATTCCGCTTTCTAATATATATTTAGACCATATTATACTAGTTTACTTATGTAATATCATGACTTATTTATAGAACAAATTAACTCTATATGTGCTTATATTCAGGGTTCAAAATTTCGGAATGAAATTTTTGAAATTTCAGTTGTCGGACCCTCGATATGATATTATTTTGGCCAGAATTTTTACTTTTTTTATTTTTCATGAATTTGGCAATATTTTGTTTAAATCTGACCAAATTTTGTCTAAAATTTTGGACTGAAAATTTCGGTATATCGGCACCCTCTGATACAAATACCGAAAACGAAAGATTGAACCTGCTTATATTTCCTTCAATCTGTTGAGCATGTACTTCCAAATGCTATGAATCAAAGGAAAAATCATAGGAATTCTAAATGATTTTATCCTATGGGAAATAATTCTATAGAGTCCTTTGAAATAAAGGATTGTTTCCTATTGATTCCTTTGAAATTTCTATGGAATAAACCTTACTAGAGCAATTTTGGAGGAAAATAAGCATGAGGTCTCACCTCATGTTTTCCTCTTCATGTGTCTAAGGTTTCTGCGTTTTTCCTGTGTGCTAATCAAATGACAGTTTGAAGACTTTTCTGTGTTTTAAAATCCCATAGGAATCCAATAAGTGTGACATTCAATTTCTACGTTTTTCCTATTCCTCTATTTTCTCAGTCATACGATTCGAAGGGGTTCTAAACCGGAGAAGCATATATGCGCATACCTCGGGCTCTTGGACGATATATAAGCGACTGGGATACCAACGTAAAAACACACCGTCAACAACAACGCGCGGATAGCATTTGGCCTCCGAATGCATGGAAATTACCGTGTGATTCCTTAGCCTCGATCGACGACGGAGCCGGCTTAGCTTATCCTTTTGCGTTGCGCAGACGACTTTGCTGATCTTCTTGCGGCCGGCCGGAAAGGCCATGCATATGCTGCGGTCGACGCCTTGGGACTTTGGGAGTAGCTATCGATGGAAAAATTAGGAGCTCTTTTTTTGATAGAAAAATTAGGAGCTCTTAAGAGAGGCTGATTGGACGAGACACGTTAACTGCACATTACACGTACATGTGTACTCGGATTATTTTAATGGACACAAATACGAAGGTAACGATGGTCAATTAGAAGTACTAGCTCCGCCCATGTTGTTTGATATACTATTTTTAAGTTGAGTATTACAGGTTATGTGGTGCGCTTGCATAGAACAAGCGTTGCCATCTGGTGGAAATTACGGGCTACTTTAATTCGTGTGGGATAATCGATGGAAGAAACACGTTAACGTGCAAGAAAATCCATCGGAAACAACGACAAGTAGTCCACAGAGATTTTTTTTTAATGAGGAGACAACTATAATATGTTCTTCATCTAAAAATGACCAAAGTACGTACCGTCTCTGTTCTAACTTACTTTCCTCCACCGCAAAATAAATCAATTCTTACTTATTACCTACGGTCCGTTCACAAGCAAGAAGTTTTATTTAATTTCACCTACCTATACTCCTTCTATCTTTAACAAATAATTTATTTGGTTTTTTATATAACAGAGAGAATACTATATTTTTTTTATTGATGAGGGACAATATAATTTTTTTTTCTCAATACAAAATCACATCGGGTGGGAGAGTTTAATTTATTTTGAGACGAAGGGAGTATCAGACGAGTATATATTCTCCAATATACATATTTGGTCAAAACCTTTTCCTGTCGTATATTTGTGCATTTCATGATGAATTTACTCATGTATATTTTTTTCTTATTAGATGATAATAATTATATATATCAATAATTTAAGATTTGACCACACATATTCAAAACCAAAATCTATTTATGAACGGAGGGGAGTACATAGGTACTACTCTTTCAAACAATTAAATTAATTAAGTAGGAACTGAATCACAAAGAAAAATGATAGCTTACTGTCGACGAATGATACACGTAGACCGGATGAGTAGAGTATTGGGGTACGTTGGTACGAGGATCACGTGGTACGACATCAAGTAAACAAAAGACAAGGATTATAGTTCAGGCCATTTATCAGGTAATAGCCCAGTCTAGTTTATATGGGATTAATATGGAGAAATCATAGAATACAATGGGAGTAGACGAATATGGCGATACCGACGAGATCATAGTCGATAGACTCGATAAGATCTCCAGGCGACTTGCCTCTGTGTGCTCTGGCTTCATAAACTGTGGTGGGTGTGTTGGCGATGAGATTCGATGCCCTACACTCCTCCCAAAGGGTCTATTTTATACTGTGGATCATCTTGGTCTCCTCGAAGACATATCGGACCCTGCACGGTACAATAGAAACTCTATCCTTTCCGAGTAGTACTTTGTAAATCACCCGATCCGTAGAGATATTTTTCATAATTCGTGATGGATTCCTACAATGCACACGGAAACAACCCATGTACATGAAGGTATATCATACTCGTATATTCCATAAATCGTAGGATATTAGGTATGCCTTAACCGTAACCATGACAGTTACCTCCTCTATCCCTAAAAGAATATAGTTTTAGCTAGTTAAAAACATGTTAAATACTCTAAGAGGTTAAAAAAATACTATGCCATCTATCTATCTATGTATTATATTATTAAAACAGCTTTGAAAGGAGGCACCACGTTCGCTGTGAGGGTTAGAAATTCCCACATTAATCGGAGAAAAAGAAAAAAAAAAGAAAAGGAGAGTCAAAGTAGAAGTACAATTTAAAAATAGCTGAAATTCGAAATTAAAAATAAGCAATATTAAAAGAAGTTCCCATATAAGAACCAAAGACGAGATTAATCAAAATTTGAAATAAAATCCAAAAATACAAAAGGAAAGAAGAGTCCAAGTAGAAATACAATTTGAAAATAGCTGAAATTCGGAATTAAAAATAAGGAATATTGAAAGAAGTTTCCATAAAAGAACCCAATACGAGATTAATTAAAATTCAAAATAAAAATAAAATAAAATCCAAAATTAGAAAAGGAAAGGAAAGGTGAGTCCGAGTAGGAATACAATTTAAAAATAGCTGAAATTCGGAATTAAAAATAAGGAATATTAAAATAATAGTCCATATAAGAACCCAATATGAGATTAATTAAAATTTAGAATAAAAATAAAAAATAAATCTGAAATTAGCAAAAGAAAATAAAAGAAGACTTCAAGTAGAAATACAATTTAAAATTAGCTGAAAATCAGAATTAAAAATAAGCAATATCGAAAGAAGAATCCATATAAGAACCTAATATGAGATTAATTAAAATTTCGAATAAAAAATAAAATAATATCCAAAATTAGAAAAATTAAAAGAGAGTTTAAGTTGGAATACAATTTTGAAACAATTGAAATTGAAAATAAAAAATAAAAACATTAAAAGAACACAATACGATATTAACTATTTTTTTTAAAAATAAATTCTAAAATTAGAAAAAGAAAAAAATCAATTAGGAATACAATTTATAAATAACTAAAATTTGTGATAAAAATAATAACTATTGAAAGAAAAGACTATCTAAAACACATGACGAGATAAATTAAGTAACATGCCTATAGAGGAGTAGAGTGGTGGCGGTTGATACGACATATAAAATTGTTAATAAAACACCAAATAGAATCCTAATGAGGATTAAAAGGAGAGACGTCAGGCATGCCGTGAAGCAAATAAGTAAGGCGGTTGTCGGGACTTCTAGAAAGTAAAAAAAATAAACCCGTTGATAATCATATTTGATTTTTAAAATCTCAATGACAATAAAACGGAGAAGCAGCGGGCGGGGTGTATAAGAGTATAGTTGCAGAGCCGCCGACGGTTGACAGGACTTCTAGAAAATAAAAAATAAATTCCAACTATAGTTATGTTTGATTTTTTTAATCACAATGATAATAAAGAGTAGACAGCGGACGGGCTATAGAGGGGCATAGTGGCATTGTTTTATGGGACTTCTAAAAATTATAAAAAGTAAAATTATAAGTCCAATTTTTAAAGGCTCGGAACTTCTAAGAAGTAAAAAAACAATGATAATCATGTTCAATTTTAAAATCGTAATGACAATAAAGAATGGAGGCAGCGGGTGAGCCGTAAAGGAGTACAATGGCAAAGCCGCTAACGGTTTGGCGGGACTTCTAGAAAGTAAAAATGAACCCAAACGATAATCATGTTCGATTTTTAAAATCTCAATGATAATAAAGAGAAGAGACAGTGGACGGGCCGTAGAGTAGTATAATGGCAACGTTTGACGGGACATCTGGAAATTATAAAAACGAAACCCAACATGACAATAAACTCTAAAAACTATAAAATCTAATTTTTAAAGGTTACAAGAAGAATGAATAAAAATAGTAATAGATCGAGCAAACAAATAAAGAAGGAGATAACATAAGGGGTAGCAACTGGTGTAACTTTTAAAAATTATATAATTAGAAACACGAGGATGCTAAGATTTGGTCTTTCAAATTCTTAAAACAATGAGATAGCTATTTAATAAATTTTAAGTAAAATCATACTAAAAGAATATATGATTTTGTTTGGGTGCTAGCCGTGCAATTACGCGGGCCACCCAGCTAGTTCATCATTAATATAGAGAAGAAACAAGGAGAGGGAGAAAACAAGGAGGAGGAAGTATTATTTGTGCGATGGCTAAAATGAGAAGAAAAAGATAATATATATATACTCCTTCCGTTTCAGGTAATAATACTTTCTAGCATTATCCACATTCATATAGATGTTAATGAATCTAAGCACATATGTATGTCTAGATTCATTAATATATATATATGAATGTGGATAATGTTAGAAACTCTTATAATATGAAACAGAGGAAGTAATATTTTAGAGAAAAAAAAATGAAAACTAAAACTACACGTCTAACCGAGGGAGTAATATATATAGATGTGTCTAGATTCATTAATATATATATATATATATATATATATATATATATATATATATATATATATATATATATATATATATATATATATATATATATGAATGTGGATAATGTTAGAAACTCTTATAATATGAAACGGATGAAGTAATATTTTAGAGAAAAAAAATGAAAACTAAAACTACACGTCTAACCGAGGGAGTAATATATAAGCAGGCATTTTATTCGCGATTTCGCATCGGTTTCTTCGTCAACTGATCCAATTAATTCATCGATCGTCCCTGAATTCAAACAGTACTTACATTATATAGTTTGGCAAGTAACACGGAAATTAACGTCAGCTCTAGCAGCTATATATATATAACATTCTACCTGTTCAGACAAACATTCAATCGTGCTCGATTGACCTCACTAATTCATCCCTGTAACCAGCTACCACTTCAATTTTCCCGCGCAAACGCCTTAATAATTAGATCGAGTACGATAATCTGACGTTCTTGTGCTAACCAAATTATAAGGGGACGATCAGCCTAAGTAGGAGTAGGCGAGTAGCTATCATCCGAGACAATGGGGTTCGCGTACAGGATCGCGAGCGCGTCGGAGTACCTGGCGATCACCGGGTACGGCATCGCCGACGTGAAGCTGGCGAAGAAGGCGTGGGTGGCGCCGGGGCAGCGGTGCACCCGCTTCGATATCTCCCCGGTGAACTACACCTTCGAGGTGCAGGCCATGAGCGCCGAGAAGCTCCCCTTCATCCTCCCGGCCGTCTTCACCATCGGCCCCCGCGCCGACGACGACGACTGCCTCCTCCGCTACGCCAAGCTCATCTCCCCGCACGACAAGCTCTCCCACCACGTCAACGAGCTCGTCAAGGGCGTCATCGAGGGTGAGACCCGCGTGCTGGCCGCCTCCATGACCATGGAGGAGATCTTCCAGGGCACCAAGTCCTTCAAGCAGGCCGTCTTCGAGAACGTCCAGCTGGAGCTCAACCAGTTCGGCCTCATCATCTACAACGCCAACGTCAAGCAGCTCGTCGACGTCGCCGGCCACGAGTACTTCTCCTACCTCGGCCAGAAGACGCAGCAGGAGGCGGTGAACCAGGCGAAGGTGGACGTCGCGGAGGCGCGGATGAAGGGGGAGGTCGGCGCCAAGGAGAGGGACGGGATGACGCGGCAGAACGCCGCCAAGGTGGACGCCGAGACGAAGGTGTACACGGTGAAGCGGCAGGGCGAGGGGGCGAAGGAGGAGGCGAGGGTGAAGGCGGAGGTGAAGGTGTTCGAGAACGAGAGGGAGGCGGAGGTGGCCGAAGCGAACGCTGACCTGGCGATGAAGAAGGCCGGGTGGCAACGACAGGCGATGGTGGCTGAAGTGGAGGCCGCCAAGGCGGTCGCCATTCGTGAAGCCGAGCTGCAGGTGGAGGTGGAACGGACTAACGCCTCTAGGCAGACTGAGAAGCTCAAGGCCGAGCATCTCAGCAAGGCTGTCGTCGACTACGAGATGAAGGTCCACCCATCTAACCATATACCACCTTCAGTTTTTAATATATTATACCATTGACTTTTTATAAACGTTTGAACATTTATTTTGTTCAAATATTTTTACAGGTATGAAAAAATTAAGTTATGCTTAAATAGCATTTGACAATAAATTAAGTTATAATAAAATAAATAATAATTACATAATTTTTTAATATAACGAATAATCAAATGTATCTCAAAAAGTTAACGTCATATATTAAAAAAAAGAACAGTGTGAGTACAATCAAAACTTTAAAACTACATTGACTATGAATGCATGTTTTAGTTTATTAAAAAAACTTTCACAATACAATATTGCTTGATGACCTATAAATAGTCAAATGTCGTATAATTTTGACCGGTGAAAGAGGGAGGTAAACTTTTTTTTTTCTCTTGAGGGGATGTTGAAATAAAATTTTAAAAAATTCTCTGGATTTTTCTCCTCGAGAGAAATAGAATATATGAATTTTTTTATTAATGTGCATATTTTTGGTTAATATGAAAAAAAGAGGGGATATCCTTTTGAGGGACAAATAAACTTTCTCGCTGAAATAGTACATAAATCTCGATTACTTTGATGTGTACATTTACACTATGCCATGTGATTAAAAAGGGATTTGCTAACCGTTATTCAACAAAAAAAAATTGGAGAACAAATCTTACTAATTTTGGACCATCTTATGGGCATATCTTAAAGATTTATACACCAAACTTCTTAAGCTCCGGCAACTCGTTGCAATGGGGCGATGACCCCACCTAGTTAGGATTTAGAGCAGGGAAAGAGGAAAGAGGGGCAATTCCATGGCTTATAGGGAGAACAGGGCACCGTCGGCCTAGCGGATGCATGGTATGAGCGATTAGGAGGAGGAGGTTGGCGACGACAAGGCCACCAATGGGGCTATGTATTGCAAGCAGCGGGGGGCATCAACTGGTGAACTGTTAGGAGGCGGCAGTTGAGAGCAGCTAGACCACCATCGGCAACAGGCCAGTGGTGGCATCACGTATTTCTTGACGATGTTGACAACGAAAAAGGCGATGGGAGGGAGGGCGGGTGGGCAGCGTGGGAAGTGAATCGGTCGCTGGTAGCGGTGGATGGGTTAGGGGAGGTAGCGGTGGATGGGTTAGAGGAGCTGCGGTAGCCAGGGGCGGATCCAGCATGGGGGCGGCGAGGTCTCGAACCCCCACTAAATTTTTTTACCATATGTAGATAAGAGTGAGGATTGTAACTCTATCTAGTTTGCTTAGATCCTATTGCTATTTCTTTCTGGATTCGCTACTGGCGGTAGCTTATGTGTAAAGAGGTGGATGGATCCCAAGTCCCAACCACTGAAACTAAATTGGGTGGCTCAAAAATTCAAGCGATAGAGCTTCAAAATTTGTCAAAGGTTATATAGGTAGTTGCCTAAAAAGAATTGTTGTACATACATGACAAATCTGATTGGAAAGTGTGTTTTGTGCAGGGTTCAAATTTTCGGACCGTAATTTTTGAAGTTTCGGGTCTATCGGACCCAATACAAAATTAATTATTCCACCCAAGTTTTTTTTATCGTTTTCATATTATTTTTGTGAATTTGGAAAATTTTGTTAAAAATTCAAATTATTTCAAACCGAAACTACTGCAATTTCCAAAATTTGGGAAAATTCGGTCTTATGGGTACCCCGATAGAAATAGGCAAAATAAAAATTTGAACACTGGTTTTGCGCATGGCTTATGCGTGTATGTAGGTGCAAGAAGCGAACTGGGAGCTGTACAACCGGCAGAAGGCGGCGGAGGCTCTGCTGTACGAGCAGGAGAAGCAGGCGGAGGCGCGGCGCGCGTCGGCGGACGCGGCCTTCTTCGCGCGGCAGCGCGAGGCCGAGGCGGAGCTCTACGCCAAGCAGAAGGAGGCCGAGGGCCTGGTGGCCATGGGCGACGCCCAGAGCGCCTACCTCTCCGCCATGCTCGGCGCGCTCGGCGGCAGCTACGCCGCGCTCCGGGACTACCTCATGGTCAGCTCCGGCGTGTACCAGGAGATGGCGCGCATCAACGCCGACGCCATCAGGGGGCTGGAGCCCAAGATCAGCGTGTGGAGCAACGGCGCCGGCGCCGGCGGCGAGGTCGGCGAAGGCGGTGGCGCGATGAAGGAGGTGGCCGGGGTGTACAAGATGCTGCCGCCGCTGCTGACGACGGTGCACGAGCAGACCGGGATGCTGCCGCCGGCGTGGATGGGCACTCTGACTGGCGGCGCCCCCTCGTCGACCAGTTGACCTTGACGCGTTTTCGATATTTCCCGTACTATGTGTCTATGTGTATATTGCTGTGTAACTGTATATATATACTCCCTTCGTCTCATAAAAACCGTGACACATTCTAGTAATAGTACTACGAATTTGAACATACATCTGTCCAGATTCGTTGTATTATGATGTGTCATATCCATTTGTTTTTTGTCAGAAGGAGGGAGTATGCATGCTGTGTGTGCCATGTGTCCTCTTCAGTATGCCTTGGATATGTATGCTTGTATTTCATCAGAAGAACAAATGTATGTACTGATTGTGTGAAGATTTACATGAGTATATAACTGCATATATATTTTGATATTTCCAAAGACAATAATCGAAAGAGACCGTCAGCGAGTTGAAGCCCTTGCCACCAAGGCCCATCGCTGCTAGATCTGGCATTAATTAGTGGGATGCAGGACAAGTATTTTCTACATGGCACTCTTGGCCTTATTGCTCAGAATTAATAATACCGATGCTGAATGCATGCAGCAACAGTATATATATACGATAATAATTAACTTCTTCTTATACATTGATGGAGTTGTCATCGTCGTGGTTGAGTGTCGGCTGGCGATGGGCGACGACGACGTCGATCTGCTGCTCGTCGTGCACTAGTACATCATGTTGCTCGGGAGGCGGCTGGCGCGTGATCCCGGCGTGCGTGCACAGTGCCCAGAGGCAGGTGATGAGGTCGGCGCCCCATGAGGCCAACGCCTTGGCATGGCCCTGCACGTCGTTGGACGGCGCGAGGTAGATGACGAGGTGCACCCAGAGGCGCGCCAGCTCGTCCCACGCCTCGTCGGCGGGCTTCTCCCTGAGCCAGTGGAACAGCTTTACACCTCTCCGCACCGTCGGGTCTTGGAACGAATTCTCCCACTGGTCGCCTGATATGGCGGTCTTGGCGATCTTCTTCTTCCTGCACCGGCGGCTCGGCGGGCACGCGCGGCAGCCGCACCGCCTGGACGCATGATCCAGGCAGCTCCTCGTTTTCTCGTAGCAGCTGGACACCCACGTCTCTTCGTCGGGCAGTAGCTCGGGGAGTTGCACCACCAGATGCATGCACTACTTGGACAGCACCGACGCGATCTGGCATTCTTTCTTCTGCTTGTCCATCGTCGTCGTCGTCTCGAGCAGCTCCGTCGCCAGGTGCCACGCCAGGATGGCCTCGGTGGTGGTCATCTGGTTGGAATCGATGCCTGATGGAAGGTTGATGGCTCCAGTGCTGCGATTGATAATGTGACATGAACACAAGGCTTGGATGATCTGCGCAGTGGCACTCGCCGGCAGGGTAACCTGGGAAGTCCTTGCAAAATGCTTGTCGATTGGACCACAGGCGTCAAGAATGGATACCTGGCAGATTGTCATCTTGTTTTTGGATGAAGAAAGTAAACAAGAGCGTATGTAGATGACCACGGAATAGATTTTCTGTAGCCACCGTCTACTGGGCCGGTCGTAGGAGCACAGCATGCGGACTATGTTCCAATCGGAGAACACAAACGAGGTCAGGAAGTCATGAGCCTCGATGAGAATGACCGTGAGCACAAGCAACATGGTCAAGGAGAGGATGAGGGACGGGGAATTCACAGGGGTTCTTCCCCAGCCCATGATTCGGCAATATAATGGTGCTGCATCCTTGTTGACGATTAGTATGTCAACTACGGCATCGATGAAAAAATACAAGAAGATAATGGAGGACAAGAAGTTGGTGCAGAAAAGGATAGGTTGGGACATCACCACAGGGGCAGCCGCTTGCTGGTAGTAGTTCTTGAGGAGCTCAAGCTCCATTAGAAGCACTTGGAAAGGCCTTTGGAGTTGATCATGGGATGAGTTGCTGCCTGGGCTAGAGAAGTTGAGTTTGAGGAGGCCGTCGAGCATCATGGCGCGAGCCATGTCGGAGCCGACCTCCACCATCGGGTAGTGCTCGAACTGGCGCCGGAGCATCTTGAAAAGAGAGAAAGATAGGCATAAGTCCTCAAGGAAATCCCCTATCTTGCCATGGAAGATGTTCTTGTGTTTTTCGCGCATCTCCCATATTGTTTTCACAGTGACCAAGGGCCATTCCTTGTTGGAGTCGCTGTTGGAGTAGTCATCGGGTTCGGCGATACAGAGATGTAAATGCTTCTGCTCGTTTTCGTTGCAGTAGGTGGCTTGGTGTTGGTGGCCACCGCCGGCGACGACGACGCGCCTTCCCATCACCACGAATTTGCAGTTGGACATGTCGTTGGCCGGCACGGCGCTCCGGCCATCGCCGTCGCGGTTGTACTTGTCCATGACTTTCGTCATGTAGCCTGCAATAACAAGAGGGTTCCTCGCCGTGTGGAAGGAGTAGCTGGCGAACCACCTGTTCACAGCGCTTAGCACGAGCTTCACAAAGCACAGGAACCAGAGCACAGCGAAGGTGATGCTCAGGGATTTATCATCTGGCAATTTGGAGCATATGAGGTAGCCGATCCACACTAGGTGACTAGTGTGTCGTAGGCGTAATCCATGAGCGTGAACCGTCCGATCCCCCTATTGAAGGAGGAGCCATCGGTTGGCAGCAGCATCCCCTGCACCTTCTTGCGGATGATCTCGGCGAGGAGCATCCACAGGAGTATCAGGAGGAGCTCGGTTTTGCTCCGGTTTTCGCTCTGTGAAAAGGCTGAGGAGAGGAGAGGAACGAACTGGAAGAAGACGAAGTTGAGCACAAAACGCACGATCCGGGTAAGGTCGTACCGGTAAAGGAACATGCCACCGCAGGTAGGCAGCCGCCTGAAGGAGAGGCGTAGAAAGCCGGTGCTGTAGATGATGGAGCCCATGAGAGCCATGAGCACCACCATGAACGTCAGCTTCATGTTCATCAACAAGGCTTCATGTTGGTCGGCCTGAGTAATATATACTATGGGTGTTGCCGGTGTTGTTCCGGGAAGAGGATAAAACTCCATCGCACCATGTCTTGTTGAAAGCTCGCAAACCGGGAGGGAGGCCAATGCCAACCCTATGATGAAATGGCAATGTGCTCATGCTGGTCTGTGCATGCATGATCATATGCTATGTGTATGTTCTAGCTAATGGCTATCGCATTTGCATGCAAACAAATACTCGCATGCATACGCGTATATATAGTCCCCGGCAATATAAATATATATTCATCGACAAGATACTGGCCTCCTCATTCCTTGCTTAGTTTAATGATGCACTCAACGAACGTGCTAGGCATCGTATATGCAGATCCGGCAATTTATGCTGCAGGCCGGGATTTCACCTAGCTGGCTTCTATTCCTTTTCTCTACAGGCTATATATGCATGATCTGTATCGATGCTTTAATCGTTGTTACAACGAAAGGAACGCGTCGTATGAGGTCTGTTACGTAGTTCTTATTCCATTTAGAGATGGTTCTCTTTGTAACAGTTGAGACGATAAAAGACTAATAATTAATGCATCAAAACATTTTTTTATTACTTATTATTATTATTCTTTTCTTGGTATTCATGTAGCAAAATTTCTTTTATATGCGCTAACTATCTTTTTCTCCTACTCACTTCTATTTCTATATCAACAAAAAGAGCTCGCTATTAATTACAGTTGTACATGCTCTAATCCCCATTTCATTTATTAAGGCTTATAAGTTCACTCTCCCCCTACCTTTATTTTTTCTTAAATCGACTTTGCATGCTCTCTATATGCTATTATAAAAGCGAAGTCATCCTCCTCTCTTCATGTAAAATCTCATGCTAAAAAGCCATATTACCCAAAAAAAACCATCTCTCCCAAAACCAGTTTCCCAAACAAAACCAACGACCTACCAAATAAAATAAAAGACTATTAATTAGTTTTTTTATTTTTCTCTATACACTGTTGCAACACATTTTGTATTTTTTTTCTCCATACAGTACTGTTGCAACACACGGGCATCGCACTCTATAAAAAAAATATACAGGAGTTCCTTGCTCATTGTACCTGCAAAGGACCTTTCAACATATACCTTTCCATGTTCGTGATTACATTTGCATCTATACTTGGAAAATAAGTGCAGGAGTTCGTTACTCAGTATAGCAGCAAAGGAGGACATTTGAATTCAACCTCGGAGGCAGATGCTTGTGCATGCTCGTGCATATTAGAATTAAATACTTATCTATCATCGTAAGCAACTAAAAGAAAGCTAGCTCTGCTTTACTCCATATACTTGTATATATACTACTTTGCTGGCCCATAAAGTAATGGTAAATTAATGCGGTATAAACATCTACCTCAATCTCAAAATACAAAGAGTTTTAGACTTGGACACAAATATGAAGAAAGTAGATAAAATTAAATAGGAAAAGATTAGAATTGGTTGAGAAGATGAAGCACGCAAAGAAATTGAATGATACAAAATTGTAATTAGTTGAGAAGAGAATAAAGATGAGGAAGTTGTTATATTTTATAGGAAAAAGTACGAATTACCCCCCTCAACTATCGCGGTCGATTGAATTACACCCCTCAACTGAAATACCAGACATTATATACCCTCAACTATTTATACCGGACAAATAACCCCCCTCAACGCTGTTTTGAGTGGTTTTGACTTGAGCTTGCTTACGTGGCGCCAACGTAGCAATCCAGTCAGCGAAAAAAATAAAAAATTCCCTGGGTCCCACCTGTCATTCCCTAGTGGTTATCTCTCGCGCACAGGCCACGCACTATAGATGGCCATAAGGCCCGAGGCCCGAAGGCCCGGCCCACGGCACGACCTTTTGGCCCGGCCCAAGCATAGCACGGCCCGACTTGGGTCGAGCCCGTGCTAGCCCAGCCCGACCGCCGTGCCGTGCTTGGGCCTCCCCACCGGCATGCTGGGCTGGCCTGGCACGATCAGGCCGGCCCGGCACGATGGGCCGGCAGGCTAGGCCCGGCACACAAAGTATAGGGACTAAAAATAGACATATAAATGTCATGGTCCAAAGAAAAGGGACCTAAAATAGACTTATTTTATCTATTTATATCACAACCCAAAGAAGAGGGAGGTTAAATAGACTTTTTGAGCTATATATGTCACAGCCCAAGAGGAGGGAGGAAAATTAGACTTATTCTGAGAAAAAGCACGATGGACCGTCGTGCCTTCAGGCCGGCCCGGCACAGCCCGAGTCATGTTGGGCCATGTGTGCGGCCCGTGGGCCGGCACGGCACGGCCCGGTGCGTCGGTCGGGCCGTGCCGGCCCGACAAGCCTTGGCCCAGGCACGGCCGGGCCTGGGCCGTGCCGGGCGGCCCACATGGCCATCTATACCACGCACTCGGGCGGCCGGCTGTGGAGCACGCGGAGGTGGAGGCGGACTGGGCGACCGGCGGCGGAGGCGAAGAACGCCCGCGCGGCGGCCAGCGGCGGCGCACGCGCGTGCGGCAGAGGAGGCGGAGCACGCGCGTGCGGCTAGCTGCGGAGCCTGCGGAGGAGGAATCGCGGAATCCGGCCGAGAAAGAGCATGCACACTGCCCGAGATGTCATGCCCCTCTCGCTCTGTTTTTACTCCACTGCCGTGTGTGTGTCACAGGCAACACGCGTGCAAAAGATCAAACACCTACGAGGCGAGCTCATCTCTATCCATCCATCTCAACCTCGCGGAGGCAGCGGCGCCGGCGGCGATGGGGTTGTGCCAGTGGAGGCTGGAGAGGCAGGAGGCGGTGTCGAGGTGCAAGGCGAGGCGGGACATGGCGGCGGAGCATGTGGTCTACCTCCGGGCGCTGCGTGCCATGGGCGTCGCCCTGCTGCAGTTCGCCAGTGTCGATGCAGACCATCCGAGGCAGATTCCGCGATCTCGGGTGGCTAGCTGCGGAGCTCCGGATAGGCAACCGTCGCCGCGTCCTCTGCGCGCTCGCCACGCTGCCCTCGCCTCCACCTCCAGGCCGCTGCCGGCACGCGCCGCCCTCACCTCTGCCTCCATGCCACCGTCGGTAGCGCCGCCGTGCTGTGTCGCCTCGTCTTCCCCCGCCGCCGCATGCTTCAGAAGAGGAGGGAGAAGAGCGCCGGTCGCGTCGCACCCTTTCGCCGGCCGCCGCGTGCTTTAGAAGGGATGGAGAAGAGAGAGGTGGGTGGGGATTCTGACGAGTGGGCCCTAGCGATTCTTTTTAGAAAAGGATGACTGGACTGCCACGTGTGTTATTTGAACCCTAAACCGCTTGTAACAGTGCTAAGGGGGGGTGTTTTATCTGGTATTGAAAGTTTAGGGTGAGCAATGTCTGGTTTTCGAGTTCAAAGTGTAATTTGGTCGATCACGATAGTTTAGGAGGTAATTCATACTTATAATAATTTTTAAATACTAAAAATTTATTATATTTCGAGATGGATAGAGTACTTAATGGGAGAAGAAAGGAACAGAATCAGTTTTCATTATAGTTGCCTGCAGGGAGGCGGGTGCTTTAAAAACCAAGAGCTCGGTTTAGGCCAGATGGACAAGTCAACACAGCGGAACTCTAAGGTGACGCAGCGCTGGAACCCAAGGCTATTCCTATTGCAAGTTTCATAAGAGTTTAGATGTCACATAAGCTAAATTGATGATACGTCAAGAAATTTATGAAGAGAGAAGGAATGAGTTTCATCTAGAAAGGATGATTTTCATCTAGATGAAACTTGGTTTACACACTATCTATGCAGTGAAATTAGAATGAAACCCCACTTCAACTTGATCATTTTATCCTTATACCTTGGAAACGAAAATAAAACCACATTAATCAAATAGTTTCATAATATCATTCAATAAATAAAAATTGTGGATAGCATATGAAATCACGAAATGAAGCTATGCATCAAAGATCGACATTTGTTTCATTCATCAATCCGAAGCTCTTTTAATTATGTAGCACTCTTGAAAACCCCAAAATAAAACTCTCCACTAGGAATAGTCTAAGTGGCGCAAAAGGTTAAACGTGAATATCTCCTTGATCAAGTTCTGTAGTAAAGGCAGAACCTAAATATTGTTACAACTAAGTATTTTAATTTCTTTTTCCTTCCACTTTAACCCTGTACATGGCTTTGATTATTTCTAACTCATAGATACTCCCTCCATCCTAAAATATAAGTTGTTTATGTTTCAGAGAAAGTCAATGTTTGACTAACAAATAAATATTTCATCTGTCTTAAAATATATTAATTTAGGATCAGATAGAATATATCCTAATATTATTAATCTAGATAGACCCGTAGAATATGTCCTATCCAGTTCTAAAGTTACTATATTTAAGAACATGATAAGTATGTTATAGTTGTGCATGTTATATCGTTAGATATATCTGAAAATATATTTATATAATAAAATTTCATGGTTATTAATAATATATTAGAAATAAATGATTAAAGATGATGTAAAAGGCTAATACGTCTAGGGGTGGGCATTCAATCTGATCAAAGAATTTAGCCTCGGTCTTCGATCTTTGGTTTTTTGGACAGCTATAGATAAATTGCACAGTAAAATAGTCAAGACCGAGCAATTTGGTCCTGGTCATGATCACAATTTTAGGAGATAAAAAAACACACATATTACTAACAATTTTCAGTCATCCAAAATATCACACACAAATCACACAAATTTCAATAAACTCAGTGTCACACCCTACCCTGACACCACCTAACAGTGATGCCAGAGGGGATGCATCATAGGAGATCGGTGTGAATAGACTCCCATAGAACCGCGATGCCGGTACCAATCCTAAGACACGACTGCTGGTACCTGCGGTTAACTCGAGAGGAATCATTGCAATTAATAATATAAATAATTATACCTTTAAGAGGTCACATCTTCGAAACGGCTCCGAGAGTGTAACCGACAAACTAGACCCAATCCACAAGCAACGGCTTGGGATTAGATAGATGGATAGAGAGGTGG